TGGTTAAAATTTTGGTTTACCAGGATTTTTATTGCTTTGTAAAAAGGATGTACAATATCGCTTTCTTAGTCCCATTAACGTTCTTGAAACTTTTTCATTCTTCTATAAATCTTTGTTTTGAGAGGATAATCCTGTTGCTTATTAAGAATGTTAGCTGCTCAACTCAACTTTTTCCCACATCCTTAAGATAACTGATTACAGTCAATTTTATGTAATTTGATCAGAAATCAAATAGTTCATTTCATAATCATATATGAGTCGAGATTAGCAAACTCAAGAAAATATATTCTTTAATTATTATTGTACGTACTAATTTCGGATTGTTTAATTAACTTAAAACTTTTCTATTCATAGATACAATCATTAAAATATTTTCTTCAATTCTCTACGAACAAAAATTAATCTTTATAAGTAATGAGCTAGGTTCATTAACACGTTTAATTAATACATTTATTTGTCTTCTGTATCCATTTGCATGGCCACATACATATATACCTATATTACCAGCATTAATGCTTGATATAATTCAAGCTCCAACACCATATATAATCGGTATATTACGTTCATGTGAACATTATCTATCTCGAAATGATGAATTTTTATCACAAGATAATTCTGATATATTTATTGTTGATATTGATCATGATCGTATACGTTCATTAAATGATTATTTATTAAATGAATCTTATCGTAGTACAATTGATAATTTAAATAATAATAATAATAATAGTGTTTTACAATTTCAAATACTTCCAAAAATATTTAAAATAAAATTAAAAAAAGAAATATCATTATTAAGAAAAAATAAATTAAATTTATCTATTGATGAATGTCAACAACGTTTGCAAAATGTTTTTATGTCTATATTTGTAGAATCATGTTATAATTATAAAGATTATTTAAAACAAACATTTAATATTGATCATTTTGTTCAATCTAAACAACATACAATGGAATTATTTTTAGAATGGTTTACACGTACACAAATATTTGAATTATTTATAAGAAAAAAAATTGATTTAAATATACAAAATTCATTTGCTATAACATTTGATTTAGCTTGTGAAAAATATCATCGAACATTAAAAAAACCAACATCACAACGTATGACAGTTAAATCAGTTAAACGAAAAGCAGCCATAAGAGCAAATAAACAAGATAATCGTTTATAAATTTAAACAATATTAAATTTTCTAAGCTATTTAGTCAGATAACTTCGTTCTTTTTCTTTTTTCTTGTATAAATTGCTTTGCTTTGGTTTTTTTTTAAATATCTATAATATATATGTATAACAGTCATTATTTGAACTATTGAATAAAAGCATTATGCGCTTGTATGTATGTGTACTTGTGTTTTTATTTATATGTGTTCATTTTTTTTTAAATACGATAAAAGTAAAAATTTTGGTATAGATTTTGTAATTATGTTAGCTATTTTGAAGAGAAAAGAAAATATAATTGAAAAACAAATTTCAACAGTGTTGTCTACATTGATCTTTACATAGTAGGAAGCTGCAGATCCATGTTTTTATGGACCCGGTTGGATATAGACATAAGGTTTTTTTTTTTCATCAATATCTGTCACACTTTGTGTACATGACCAACGGTGTGGGTGTGTATAATTTATTTTTTGTTGTTGAAGAAAAGTATTGTTGGATTCGTTATTTCAAGCAGAGCAAGATTGTTGTCATTTATTACTAAATCTAGCGCTTTGCTATCGTTGTCAGCAATAATAATGAAATTTCTTAAGTTTGTTTGATGTCTTAAATATAATTGTTGGATAGATGCAGATATTCAAGTAGTAAGGATATAATGTTGGATTTTATAACTGCTTTGATTACGTTCACATTACTAATTGTTTTTTTGAGCCTCTTCTAAATTGATTTTACTTCGGCATTTATGAAAGCACGCATTTATACTAAAGCTCTAGAATGGTATATTTGGAATCTTTAATCAATCATTAAACACTGTTAGAAAATCATTTCGAAAAGTCGCAATCAATTTTCAAAACATTTTGAATCAAAAAATAAAGCGCAAAATCATTGAAATATTTTTATAGTTTGTTTACTCAATGAATGAAAATGAAAATAATTATAGTACAGATAAATTAATTATTTTTGTTATACGTAATGGTTTTGCACGTATTATGATGTCTAGTTTACTTGTCATTTGTTATGTTCGAGCTATGTGTGAAAAACAACAATTATGGATATTATCAAAATTTTGTTATGTTGGTCTATTATATCTTATTCTTGATTGGTGGATTATTTTATTAAAAATTCATGTACATCAAAAAGTTGTAGAATATTTTTGGATCAATACAGGTGTAGCTATATTTATTATATGTAAGTTATTAGAATGAATAAAAAGAAAACCAACAATTCTAATATTTATTTTAGTTACGATGCCTCCATTATGGTTTTTACGTTATGCTTATTTTATACAATCTATAAAAGATTCTAAAATTCAAGCTAAACATGCAAATATTAATTTAGAATCTTATGTTAGTGAATGTTGGGATTTAACAGAAAAAAATCAACTTCATTTAATGGAATTCCAACAAGGATTATTTGAAGAAGCAATATCAACAATTGATAAAAATGATGGTGAATGTTATCAAAAAGAAGAAATGAATGCTGGTAGTTGGTGTGCTTATGGAATATGTTTAATGAAACAAATGCCTGATGAAATGTTAGAACAAGTTGTTGTACTTAGTACTATTTGTGTTCGTTGGTGAGTAACAATTATTAAATTATTCAAAACGAAATATATTTTAAGGATGATTACTGGTAATTTGGGTCTTGATCAACTTATTACATATTTTATTTCAACAGCTTCAGATATTGTCGAGTAAATTTTATTTATTTATCTATTTCTCATAATAAAATATTATTTATTAGTTTTGCTTCAACTATGGTTGGACAAAGTGAACAATTAATTCAAGATAAAAATAAAGATATTATGAAAGCTATTATTGGTATGTTTGACAAAATCTTGAATAATTGTTAGAGGGCGAAGCAGTATCCAGTAGTTGATTGTGAGTTTTCTTTTTGCTCGATATATAACTTGAAATCGTTATTTTGTGTCGTAATGATCTAAAGATCCGAGATTCGTACGATTTTCGTTCGTTCTCAATTCGTTCCATAAAATAATGATTTTGAAATGAGAACTATGTTTAAAAAAAAAGAAACAAGACTGGTAGCTATGAAATAATGATTCACTTGTCGAGTCATGAACGCTTTACTCCATATTTGTACTTAGTGAACATAAGGTCTCTGAGGATGTTGAAGATTGAATTTTGACCAAAAATTTTGTTTCTAAATATGCTTTATAGGAGCTAAAAACATATCCTGATAGAGATATCAGCTTTGTGCATTGGGAATAAATCAAGTAAAACGCACATGACTCGGCAAACAAAATTCGGAACACTAGAGCAAAACAATATAGAATTAAACATGCAGTCACATTCATCGTTCCACTCCCGACTTCGGAAATGTTCTGCACATCCTGTGCTTAGCATATATACCATCTAATTGACTATACAACCTTAAGTAAACATTTTTCTAGCTGCTTATTTCATATCGCTTTCACAATTCAGTGTTAATTTATCTGGTAAACGAAAACATGATCATTCTTATGATGCAATTCTTTGGTCAAATGCAACAATTCGAGAACGTTTTCTTATTATAATAGATTTTTTATGTGGTACAGAAATTTGGGGTATTCTAGCACAAATGGCAACTGAAGATGGTCTTTTACTTGGTTTACGTATTGTTGCTGTTATTAAATTTGATGCAAGCACACTTGAAAATTTTTTTTTTGTTGTTAAAAATATTCTTACTATTGCTATTTTTACATATTATGCAGCAGCAATATCTGATTCATATATTCGACATCGTTATTTTTATCAAAACTATATTTTTACAATGTCTCAACAAGATAATCAAGAATTATTATTCAATAACAAAAATAATTTACGATGACTTTAATTCGTTCACAGTGGAATAAACAGTCTGAATTGAATACTTGCTTAGTTTTTATCATGTTCTGTAAGCTGAGATAGATCTCATCTAGATGATACCTTCTAAGAATGATTAGAAAATATGCACCATTTTAGAGCACTAATAATCTTTTTTACAATATAAACGGATTTGATAATATTATGATTTATAATTGCGAATGAGTGTGAATTAAATTAATCTCGTGCAAACATTCAACAGTCTCGTTGATATTTAATGAATTATCAATCACCGAAAAAAATATGCATATAGGTGCGACAGAAATTATTTGTACGATATAGTTGTAGCAATATCTCGATATGTTAAACTTTTTCAGGAATCCGAAAGCACTAAAAGAACCGTTGTGTCGAAGAGCAGCAGCTTCCTAAGCCTCAAATGATTCGACTTGTTAGCGTAGAAGATATGAGTATTTTAACTCACAAATGAAGTTATTTTATGTGCAAAAAGGATATGGCTGTGATTACTGAAATTAGTCCGACCCACACCCTAATCCAGGTACTGCCACCTTTAGTGCCAATTGATTATGAAATTCATTATGATAAATCATATTAAAACGTGAATTATTCTAATTGTTGCGATGTGAAGAGCGACAAATTATTTTTCACAGAACATATGAATAATTGATCTCTAGGAAAGTGAGAGGAGAAGCAAGACTAAATAGCATAAAAGTCATCCTCCTTGCAATGGAACAGTGCGTTGTAATCGTCGCCACCATAACATTCGAACTTTCACGGAATGACGAAAACGAAGCGATGAAAACATAAGAATATAGAATCGTCCCTAAAAGCACATGAGAAAAAAGTGATCACCATATTTCAAAAATACTGACTCCATAAGCGTTTGAGATTAAAACATTCTTGATTTTTTTATCAGTATTTTTCTGAAGCATTTCTGCTATAACTGCATAAACCGTTTAAATACCGAACGGACTAAGACCTATTAAGGTAAGCACGACTTGAATGAAAACTATGATTGTCATTTGTCAATCAACACGTCGACGCAAGAGAACGATTGTTTTTCTTATGTTTTGATAAGATAAAATTCCCAATATCATCATAATTAAAATAGGAATACCACAGAGTATAGTACAGATAAAAAGTATATCATAGAGAAAAAACATATTACTCTTATAAGAACAAACACCTGTAATTGGTGACATGTCCTGATAATATAACCAAAGGGTACCATGAAGCCACCAGATGATAATAGCAAACAGAAGCTCGATATGCATTTTTAATAAATTCGCTTGTAATTGAATGTCGATGAAAGTTTGTTGAAAACTATTGTAACTATGCAACTTATGTATAACTGCATAGGATGTCATTGCTTTAGGATCGCTTCCTTTCGTAAAAAACCTGACTTTTCACCACCTACATTCAAATCATCTGAAATTTTCATGATATGTTGAAGGCGTAGTGGAGAGGTTATGTTAAAATTTTCAGCCGGCAAAACTAGCTCATTTTGCAACTCAAAATTATCTGCCGATCCTCGTTCTATACGTTTACTTCCTTTTTTCTTCTCCTTCGAGAGCAGTTTAGGATGAAAAGTATGGCATAAATTCTTTTTTTAAATACGTACTGTTTAAGTAAAGGCAAATGATAAGAAGTTAAAACCATTACAAAACACTAAAAAACTCACGTGGTAACTAAAAAAGTGCTCTTGTATATAATAGTACAAACAATTAATAAAAAACAAAAATTTTGTCATGTCCTCTATTTTAGCATGTTCTGTCAAACAAAATAAAATTATTGACTACAAGAAAATTTCTTTGAAAATTCGCGAATGCTCAATCAAATAAGAATAAGCAGCGAAAAAACGAAACAGATTTTATGCTTTTTTTTTTTTAAAACAGCATTTTTTTGCTGAAGCAGACTATGACAGAAGTCATGAGCACATCCGGTTTCGGGCTATCCTCCTATGCATTTATTCTAATTTTAATAATAATTCTGACGAATCTTCATTTTTTTCAGGGAACGGAGAAGGCTTAAAAGAACGAATCTCTCAATGAAATGCTCATAAAAAATCAATGGTTCAATATTTTTCAAAACGGCTTGCAGCAAAATTTGTAAAACATTTTTCTCTACAACATGTCTACGAATTGAGCAGAATATGACGACCCCGGTTGAGCAAGTTCGGGCGTGGCTTACATGGACTGGCTCCTAGAAACATTAAATTTGAACTGAACGCTTCTTGGTACGCTCAGTTCATAAATAACTTGTTCTCGTGCTGATTTCGATGAACGATGGGTACCAGAAGTATTATGAAAGTTAAAAAGAGATCCCACTTCTATGATAGATTAATGAGTCTAATAATGGCAGAAATAGAAAACTGTATACATTTTCAAGATATAACTTTTTTTAATGCCTACCCCCCCCCCGTCCCCCGTCCATCACCCCCCCCGCGCCCCCCCCCACACCCGCCCCCCCCCCCATCCTCCCCACCACCTCCAACCACCTCCCC